AATTTTAGTTGCAACTCACTTTACTAGAAGCATAAATGCTCGAAATTAATACATACGTATACAGCGTATCCCACTCTCACTGCTCTGTACATCCTGTTCAGTTTCATCTCTATAGACTAATTCCTCTGGAATATCTGAAACAAAAACGCCAAATCGAGTCAGTGGTACTAGAATTAATGTGTTTTTTTTTGCCAGTATGATTGTAGTTTGCCATGAACTTACATCTATATATAATCTCCAATCCATACATTATGGAAGAAGAACTTTTGAAGGCAGTCGGCATGCTAGCGAGAATGTGAAGACTTGTCTTCCCAGAACATTTCTTTGTCGCCAGCTCTGGATCTTTGTCTAGTAACCAAATAGCTGTCTCTGCATTTAAAAGACAATTCTCATGCATTTCTCAAATGAAAAGAAAAAATGTGTTTTGTAGTTGAAATTGCCTGAACTATTAAACCACAATCTCTGGCTCAATGGGGTCCCTTGGGTTTCAGGACTCAAATCCAGCTAATTGTAGTTCGGATTGCAAATCACCAATCTCTTTCCTAAGTCAGTGATTTAATTTAAAATTAAATCAAATGAGCAGTACGTACCGAATTTTTCATTCATGATAGCAATATGAAGAATGGAGAGGTCATCAGATGTTCTTGTGAAGTGATCATCTTTCAGATTTCCCTGTTGACATTCCACCTTTTTTACTAAGTACTCCACCGTTGCTTTATTGCCAAATGCCGCAGCCCTGTATAGCGCCGTCTCCCCTAAATTATTGCGGTCCATCAGCATACTCGCTTGTCCTTCATGTCCAATCTTATCAACCAAGAATTTTGCTGCCTCAACATCGTTGCTCATGACCACCTCGTGGAGAAGGGTGTTGCCATGACTATTCTTCATCGTGAACACCTCACATTTTCTAGGCATTGCAACCATACCGAAGAGATCTCCAAGCAGATCTATGCTTCCCATGTATGCTGCAATGTGGAAAACAGTATCTCCGCAAGGAGTGAGGGGATCGAATAAAGCACAATGTTTGGTCTGATACAGAGTTTTAATGTTTGCCCGGTCCTTTTCCAAGGCCTTTACATAAAGCTCCCTCATTTCCTCAACACTTTCTTCATCTATAACCAAAGCTACTTCTGTTGTCATCTTTCCTTTTCTGTTGAGCAAGAACTTCATATAGGAGAAAAAATATTTTAATAGTTATTTATATAAATTATTAAATTTTTAT